GGAAGAAGAATAGCTGGCAGAGAGGACTTGCCAGAGAGAAGAGAAGAAATGAGACTATTGCAGAAGCCAAATTAAAGGGGAGTGTTTCAAGAAGTGGTCAACCACATCAAATGCTACAGATAGGATAAGTAGGGTAAGCTTAGAAAAGGGTCTAGTGCGTGCTGTGCTGTGAAGGTTATCAGTGACTCTCTAAAAAGTAGTTTTGAAAAATATTGGGATAGAAGCTACAATTATATTAGACTAAGGAGTGGCAAGTGAGGAAACAGCACAAGTAAATAACTCTTTTGAGATGTTTGGTTATGAAGGGGTGCCAAAAAATAGGTCAGTACTTGCATTGGAATAAAGTGTTAAAAGAAGGATTTTTTTCATTTTAGATAAAGAGCATATTTTAAAGTTGATGTGAATATTGAATGATCCATAGAGAAAGAGAGATTGGTGTTAGGGGACAGAGGGAATAATAACTAAAGAAGCAAAATCCTTCAGAAAGTTACAGGAGAGGAAATCAGAGCATATGTGCAAAGATTAGTATTTAATAGGAAGTTTTCTCTATTGTAATAGAGAGGTACATAAAAGAAAAGGAGAAAGCTACAGAATCAGAGGGATAAGTTACAAAATGTATGATTTGGTTGAGAAATGAAACAAGTGATTTTTACATCTCTGCTTTTCAGTTCTGTATTTTAATAGGTTTCTTTTTGAAATCAGTTTTACAGTGTTTTCTTACTCCAAACTTTGTACTGAAAAGCACACTGATCTGTAATTAGTAGGTAAAATATAAGGTTCCATCTTTGAATTCTAAAAAAATGAACAAAGAAATTAAAAATAGGGGAGATATTACTTAGTAATATATGTGAGTTTTCTAGAGTTTAGTTTAATAGTAATTTCAGTGTGACTCGAACAAATAAAACAGCTAATATAACTTAGGGCAGTGGTTCCCAACCCGGCATGATTTTGTCCCCCAGAGGATATTTGGCAATGTCTGGAAACATTTTTTGTTGTCACAATTGGGGGGAGGAGTACTCTACTGGCATCTAGTGGGTAGAAGCCATAGATGCTGATAAACATCCTGCAATATATCACCCCACAACAAAAAAATTATTTGGCTAAAATGTCAATCAAATTTGAAAGCATTGAGACCAGAGAAGTTTATATGGTAAATGGTAATTTGGTAAGAACATTCCCAAAGTGTAGACTATTTATATATGCGAAGACATTTGTACACTGGGTATTAGTCTCCTAAAGAATATTGGTATTTTATTTAACATTCACAAGTTGCTACTTCAAACAAGATATTGATTAAATTATCCATTAAGACACATTATAGGTATATATTCTTAGAAATCTTTAAATAAATGTTGATATAATTCATTGTACCTAAGGGGGTTTTGTCTTCTGATATTCAATTATTTATTTACCATAAAATATCTCTATCTGATCTTAACCGGGATTTACTATTTTCTAATGAATCACCATACAAATCCTCCAAATTTAGTTGTCCATTTGCTTTACTTTATCCATATATCAGACATAACTTTCTCCACATAATCTTTGGGAAATCTCACCATTGAGTGTTCAATATATTATGAGGAAAAACACAATTATTTGGCATTACCCTGAGCACTTCAATGAATACCTACTAGTGTCAGTAATGGATTAACCAGTTTACCTGGTTTCCATTCCTTTGTTCCACATGCCTTCAATACAGCTTTAACAGTATTTCCAAGAGATTAGATATAAGTGGAGGGGCTTTCCATTTCCAGATAGGATGTTGAAAGATATAAAAATTCTTCATCCCCATGGTAACAATGATGACACAATAATAAAATCCTGTGATAATAACAATGATAAAATTAAAATTATACTTTTCTACGAGGCTTCTGAAGAGTGGATTCAAAGAAGCCTTGATTAACTGAATTCCAGAGAGATAAGAGCCATTCATAGATAAGCAGAAAACCACAGCTGCTTTTATACCTGGGGCAAGTGACTGAGCTGGACACAGGTCAGGAAAGGAATGGGCCTTCTATAGATGGGCAGACTGCAAAGAATAGGAACAACTATAGGTTTAATGACTATCTGGACTGAACTGTTGAATGGGAATCTGAAATAGCTCTAAACACAAAATTACCCAGTTTGGCAATTCTCTGCCAACTAACCCCACCACTCTCAGAATTTTTCTGAGAAAGTGGCAGCAAATGAGAAAGCACAGAGAATTTATGCACTCCCAAAGTGCTTGCATTCAGGGTTTATTATAGAATTTGACCCAAGCTGAATTAAACTATCTGAAACTGCATCTCAACCCTCTTTCTGCACAAATACTGGGAAAATTAGGAATCAGCCCCTTGAGGAAGGGTTAGGGAAGTTTGAGTGTTGGATTGAGGAGCAAAGAGATTTTGAAGGGAAACCTAATCTAATTAAAGCTGCAGACCAGCCCTAGTTCAATTCAGTACTGTGTAGAATCTGATTGATTAGCACTTCACTTGAGTTGTCTAAGGACAAAAATTGGTAAGGCTATAAAAAACTTAAGCAAATTTCTTAACCAAATTGACCTGACATAAATAGACACCTACACCACACTAATGAAAATGTGCATTTTTTTCATTAGATGTGGAATATTCACAAATATAGACTGAGTCATGAAACAATAAAGAATTAAAATCAAGCAGAGTAAGTTCTCTGATCATAAAAGAAATTAAATTAGAAATCAGTAACAAATATGTCTTAAAATCCCCAAATATTTGAAAATTAAGAATAGCTCATGACTTAAAAAAGAAATCACAAGGGAATTAAAAAAATATTTTTAACTTAGTGAAAGTATAAACACAAAATATCAAAATTTGTGATATTGAGATGTTACTAAAGTAGTGCCTAATGGAAAATTTACAACATTAGAAGCTTAAATTAGAAAAAAGATCTCAGATCAGTAATCTAATAGCTCTACCAATATCAGACAAAATAGATTTTAAATCAAAAAATGTCACTAAAGAAGGACAATTTAAAATGATTAAATGGTCAATATATCAAAAAGATATAACAATTATAAATATATGCACCTGACAACAGAGCTACAAAGTACATGAAGCAATATCTGACAGAATCAAAGGGATAGACAATTCAACAATTATTGGTAATTTTAATACTCCACTTTTAAATATAATACGAGAACTAGGCAGAAGGCCAAAGAGGAAATAAAAGACTTGAAAAATGCCATGTATAAGACCTGTACACTCAAATCTACAGAAAGAAAATGTTTAAACATTATTTAAGTGGAGGAGATACCATCTTTATGGGTTGGAAGACTCAATATTTTTAAGATATTTATTCTACCAAATTATCTATAGATTTATCACAACTCAATAATAATCTAACATATCTTTTTATAGAAATTGACAAACTGATTTTAAAATGTATGTAGAAATGCAAAGAATCTAGAATAACTAAAACACTTTTGCAAAAGAACAAAGTTGGAAGATTTCACTTCCTGATTACAAGATGTAATATAAACCTGCATTAATTAGATAGTGTGGTAGTCAAAAAAAAAAAAAAAAGACAAATAGGCCAATGATTACAGAATAGAGAATCCAGAACTTGACCCACACATACATGGTCAATTTATTTTTGACTAAGGCACTAACACAAATCAATGAGGAAGGAAAATCTTTTTAATAAATAATCATGAACAACTGGGCAAATAGGGGGAAAATGGACCTTAATCCCTACCTCACACCATAATCAAAATTAACTTAAGATTAATTATAGCCCTGAAAATGAAAGCTAAAAATTAAAAAAGTTTCTTGAGAAAACAAAGAGTGATATTTTCATTACCATGGGGTAGGCAATGATTACTTACACAGGAACCAAAAAAAAATTCTAAAGAAAAGAAAAAAATCAATAAATTGCCCTTAAGGCAAATTAGTCTTTTGCTCATCAAAAGACATCTTATTGTCACGAAGAAAATGGAAAGTTAAGTCACAAATGGAAGAAGATATTCACAATACCTACTTCCGATAAAAGACTCTTAAGCAAAATATATAAAGAATTCTATTGAAGATTTGGCACTGCTCAGTTCTGTAACCTTAAATAGTTTAAACTCTCCGAACTTACAGTTTCTTATTTATAAAATGTAAGGGTTGGGATAGAGTGTGACAATGGACATTTTCTAAAATTATATGGTTTTTTTGAAGCTACAGCAAGTTTATTGGTACAAATGATATAAAGGAGATGGTGGAAAGGAATATGAATAAAGATGGTTTGGGTAATTGACAATGGCTCTTAAGTACCCCTGGGTATGGGATTTACATTAAAGTAGAAACTCTGAATACTTATTTACAAAGAAAAAATATGAAACTCTCCAATAAGGGTAGGAAAACCCTAAGGATATTTTGTGAATGACACAGGAAAGCAGACTGGCAGATACTGGGAATTACAAAATGTTTATTAATCTATTGTGCCTATCCTTATATTTTTCAGGAAAGTGACAATAGAATATAAGAAATATTAGAAATGAGGAAAATATAGTGCTTATTATAAGAAGGAATTTGATACCATTGAACAAATCATTTAGTATTTACTATACAATACTGCATTTTTATAAATAGGTATAATATTTAAAATTTGTTATATCTCCTTGAAGGTCTTTTAAAAAGCCAATAACCGTTTCTCTTGGAAGTGGAAGATTTGATTAGATCTTTTTAAAAACCCCTTCTACTTCATGTTTTTCTTGGTCTATTTTCAGATGAAACTACATCATTTACTAAAATAGTTACTTCATATGAAAAAATAAGAAAAGGACTTTTATATCTTTCCATCATATTCAGTTACCCTTTATATATCAGTTATTGCTTATTTTTTCCTATGTCATTGTTAAAATTTTTCAAAATAATTGTCATAAGCATAGAAAAGTTCTCACGGGGGAAAAATAAAACCTTTTAAAACTTATAGGAATTAATAAGAATTATCTACGAAATTTTAGCAAATTTTCTCATTTTTTGTCATTTTATTTTCAGGTTTAACTGAGCTGAATGACAGTCCAGTTCCCCTGGAACTTGAGCGTTGCAAGTCTCCCACTTCAGGTAAACATGAGTGGTATTTTTCAATCTTCTGAAGATTACTTCACTGCAGTAATCTACTGCTTTATCTTCATAATTCTTGAGAAATTCATAATTTTGGTAATTAGGTGTAATTTCATTTTGAAATTTAACCATAAGCAAATTCTATTCCAAAATAAAATAGAAATAAATGTCTTAAAATATTTATTACTTCCCAAAAAATTAAGATCAGAGGTATAAATATAATACTTTCAAAAACATTTTAAAGGAAGTTATTTTGCAGATATATTAATAATGCTAAGTAAAAATTGTAATATTATACAGAAACTGTCTCATAGCTAGAGCTGAATTAGTGGGAAACATATACTGTAGGTGCAGTAACATATGAAACCATCCCTCTGGATCATAGTTTTGAAACATGTATATTCATTGGCAAAAGAAAAATGATAATATATGTTGTGAGCCCATTATATTAAAAATATGAGTATAAAGCTTCTTAGGAATAAGTTTTTAAGGTCTGTGAAAAAAAAGGTATAGTACAAATTGTTGGGTGTCAGCATTGTGAATAATTTGCTTTTTAAAAATTTTTTATTTACCTGATTTTTCTGTAATATACACATAGTAATGTGTAAATTTTTAAGCACCAAAAAATTAGGTATATCTTTGACATTGAATTGTAGATCTGTTTTCACAGAGTATCAAAAAATTATTTTTTAATTTAAATTATTTTATTTTTAATTTCATGCAAATTTATAAACATTTAGTTATCTCTTTATAAAGCAATGAATTTTGACTTTTAGAAATTCAGCTGGAATTGTGACATTCTTCAATCTACTTCCTTAAGAGTTGTTAGTTGTTTATTGTTATTCTTCAGGAATGTAGGCTGAATAGAATCTAGTTGTGTCCTGTGTAAATTTCTGTTTTAATCATATCCATCTAATCCTTATTTTACTGCTTTCATGTTAAGCATGATCTCATACATTTACCCTTTCTTTTGCATTCCCATTGGCACCATCCTAATATAGGTATTTATTACACCATACCTAGAATATTACAAAATTATTCTAACAGGTGTCTCTATTTTCCATCTCTCCCTCTTAGAATTCATTTTGCATATCATGTTGCAAAATTAATCTCCTTAAAATATTACTTTGATACTTTCCCGTGTCAGAAATCTTCAATTAAAATACAATTTAATATTCTATATCAAATTCAATTAATTTAACCTCACTTTAAATTCTCATCCATAATCTGAATTTGAATAGTAATACATTTATTAGGTTCTAATATCAAAAAGAAATAGAATAAAAAAAATTTCCCTCCCATCCTTCCCCATACATTGTTTCCACTCTCTTGAAAAATTAAACATTATTGGTAGTTTCTTGTTTATCCTTCCAGGCAATTTGTGTTTGTAAACAAACCAAAAAGAAACAGACTTTTGCCTTCTGTTTTGTACAAAAGTAGTAATATTATGCACTTCGTTGTACTTTGCTTGTTTCACTTTACAGTGTATCTTGCTTTCCATTTCATTACATAAAGTATTTTCTTATTATTTACATTGATATTGAGTTACATGTGTGTACTATAATTTAATCATTTTACCAATTAAAGGACACATAGTTTAGTGCCAGTCTATTGCTATGTCAAACAATGCCACAGTGACTAACCTTGGTACATTCCTCACTTTAAATGTGTGCAGGTATATCTATCAGATAAATTCCTAAAATTGAAGTTGCTGGGTCAAAGAGTATACACCTGTTTAATCTTTATAGATACTCCCCAACTGCTCTTCTTGGGGTTTGCAACAGTTCTCTCTCCTTCTAGCAATAACATGAAAATATTGGTTATCAAATTTTTTTATCTTTGCAAGTCTATTTGGTAAAAAGAATATGTCAATGCAGTTTCAATTTACCTCTCACATATTATAAGTGATGTTGAACACCCTTTTATATATTTAAGAGTTCTTTAAATATTTTTTGTAAATTATCTATTCATATACTTTGCCCATTTTCTATAGGGTTGTTCATTCTTTTTAAATTAATTAGTCCTCTTCATAAGTTAAGATTTTCCCTTTATGACATGAGATCCAAATATTTTTCTCAATTTTAACTTTTAACTTTGCTTGTGGTATATCTTGCTTTAGAGCAGTTTTTTTCTAATCATTGATCTTTTCTTTTAAGGACTTCTTTATGCCCAACAATTTAAATACTATTGGTTATCTACTTTTTAACATTTTAGTAGAATTCCCCTGTCATTTACCCTTTATAGTTACTTATCTTGTATGTTTGTACTTTCTCTGAAAAGAAAAATTTTTTCATTACGGAACATTTCTAAAAATATACAATACACATATGAAAAGAGCCTTTCTTTAATTAGGGTAACTAAGTTGATCTATTTTGCTGTTTAAACCCAAACAGTGGTTTTACTGGTTTTTTTAAATTTGTTTTTTAGCTTACTGATTTCTGCTTTATCTTTATTAGTCTCCTCTGTTTTCCTTCATTTTACTTTTTCCTTTTTCACCTTTTTGTGGTAGATGCTTAATTCATTTATATTTATTGTTTCTTACATATTGATAAAACAAGGCTAAATTTCTCTTTGAACTCTGTTTTAACATGTAATAGCTTTTGATATATTATGATTGCATTAACAGTATTTTGTATATAGTAAACAGTTTGTTTATATTTCTTTGACCCAAGAGTTATTTAATGTAAAAGTGTGGCATTAGGTAGCTGTAAGTTTTACCTTATTAATCATGTTATTTAAGTCTCTCATGTCATTACTTATATTTTGATTACTTGACTTGTCAAAGATGGGGAAAAGGTTAATTAACATATTGTATTAATCATGTGTTTCTATTTTTCCTTGTATCTGCTGTTTATTTTTTAAAATATTCATGTGTAAATATTCAAAGATATATCCATACATCCTTTACCATTAATCACCATTGTTCATTTCATATTGTGTCCTTCACCTGAATTCACCTTGTTTGCTATTAATACCACAACTCTTGCTTTTATTTGTAATTTCTTTTGGTATTCCTTGGCCTTACCTCTTTTGAGGTAAACTTTTTTTAAACTGAGGTGCAATATGTAAACCTCAAAGTGCATAATTCTTAAGAGTTCAGGTAGACTAGTTTTTACAAATGAATACACCAAGTAAACTTACCCAGATCAAGATATGGAATGTTACTGGAACCCCGGGCACCTCCCCTTATGCCCCTCTCAGCCACTAACCCCCACAAAGGTACCTGCTATTCTGACTTTTATCATCATAGATTAGTTTTGTGGGTTTTGGACTCTCAGATGAATGGAATCATTCAGTATTTACTTTTATTTTTTGCTTATTTTGTTCAACATTATGTGTATGATATCTATGTTGCTGAATGATTTTTATTGATGTGTAATGATCCATTATATGAATATATCTCAATTTATTTATGCAGTTTATTATTGCTGAACATTTTAGGTGGTTTTCAGTTGGGGGCTATTATAAGTAAAGCTTTTATGACCAATCTTGTCTAATTTTTAATACAAATATAACTCATTTCTGTGTTACATGTATCTGGGAGTGAGTTTTGAGGTCATAGGGTATGCATATGTTCAGCTTCAGGAAATACTACCAAGTTTTCTAAAGTGGTTGCACCAATTTTACTTCCATTAACGGTGTATAAAAGTTCTATTTGTTCCACATGCTTTCCAATTTTCTTTTTTCAGTTTCAATCATTCTGGAGTGTATATAGTGCTGTCTTGCTGTAGAATTAACTTGCAGTGCATATCCCTGATGTCTAATGATTTTGATGAACTTTTACATTTATTGACTATTTTTAATATCCTCTTTTATAAGATATTCAAGTATTTTACTCATTGTTATTATGTTGCCAACTTTCTTTGATATATAAGAAATTCTGCATATGTATGTAGATAGGTAGATACATACATAAAAATAAGTACTTTTGTTGGATGTATATAGGGCAAAATATCTTTTCCCATTCTGTGCCTTGCTTTTACTCTCTTAAAGGTGATCTTTCCATGAGCAGAAGTTTTTAATGCTAATGTTATTCAATTGATCAATACTTTCTTTTATTGTTAGTGCTTTATGTGCTTTGTTTTATTTTTAAGAAAATCGTTGCCCACCCCAAGTTCATAAAGCTATTTCCCTGTCTTCTAGGAGGCTTATTGTTGTACCTTCACTTTTAAGTTCAAGTTCCATTTGAAATGTATTTCTGTGTCTAATGTGAGGAAAGAGTCAAGGTTTATTATTTTCATTTAGGTATCCAGTTGACAAGGACCATTTATGAGAAAACTATCATTTCCCCCACTACACTAAAATGGTACTTTTGCCACAAATTAGTGTACTCTACCATGTATGTGCATGTTTCTAGACTTTATGTTCTCTTTCATTTGTGTGTTTACCATTAATCCGATTCCACACTCTTTTAATTGCTGTAGCTTTATAGTATTGCTGGTAGTATAGGTCCTTCAATTTTTTTTTTGTAGCTCTTTTTCAAGAATGCTATAGCTATTTTAGGTCTTTTCTTTTCATATAACCTTTAGAAAAAACTTGTCAGTTTGCACACAAACAAATATGTTTGGATAGTGATTGTAATTTTATTTCATCTATAGATCAGTTGGTCAGAAATGACATTCAACAATGAATTTTCCACTTGGTATCTCTCCATTTATGTGTCTTCTTTACTTTAATATTTTTAGTCTTCTTTGTAGAGGTCTTACACATCTTTCATTAGCTTTATTACTCAGTATTTGATATTTTTATGTTGTAAATTTTTAAATATCTTTTTATTATTTTTTATGGCTAGAATATAAAAATAATTAATTTTTGTATATTGACCTCATGTCCGGAATATTTGATAAAACTTATTTCAGTAATTTGTCAATTCTTTTAGATTATCTATGTATCCAATTATGCTCCCCCCTGTTAAAATGACAGTTCCATTTCTTCTTTCTAAAGGAAAAAATTAGCTAGGACCTCCAAAACAATGCTGAATAGATGTGGTGTTAGCAGAT